GTTGCTGGGCACCAGAGTCTGGCCCCAGCCTCTTGCCCCTCGGGGGCCCTTTAACTCTTGATCAGCATTGATCAGAATGTCTTCTCCAGGCTGGACAGCCCCAGGGCTCCAAGATGATAATGTTCAGCTTTTTTTTGTTGTTTTTTTTTTGGTTTTTTTTTTTTTTCATAAAAAAAAAAAGAAAGGCCTTTTGGGTTAGTATTCAGAAGCCACAGCCTTGTCTGAAAGAATTCTCTCCCTGAATGAGTCTCCTGCCTCAGCTCTTTAACACATCAGTTGCCCCCTGTTGGTGCAATGGGCATGGAACAAGTCACTGGTGACCCAGCTCTCGGCTCCCCACGCAGAGCCAAGGAGAGACCTTGCCCAGCTGTAGGCCAGGGCAGGTCTGAAGCTCCCTGGGTTGTGCAGCTGCTGGTGAGGTGACAGTGCTGCTGTTCCTGCAGTGCCCAGACCGCCGGATGAGGCAGGACACAGATTCCCCCCCACAGCTCGGCCTGCAGACCTCTGTCCATCCCTGCACGCCTGGCAGCAGGTCCTGTCCCACAGCAAACCTCGAGGCCAGTGGTGGAGTGTGGCCTGAGCCTCGGTGTCCCCCTGGGGAGCTGCTGGAGGGACGAGGGGAAGCCTGCTTTCCCAGGCTGGAGGTGCCTCTCTTCCCCAGAGGCAGCTGTGGGATGGCTGCCCCCTGAGTCCAGCAAGTTAATGGTTTCCTTCTCCCTCACCATGCTCAGGCATGTTTGACACATCCCCCAGCACTGGCAGGTCCCCACTGCCCCGTGTCCCTCACCCCACACCTCCACGGCTTGGAAACCCCTCCAGGGGTGGGGACTCCACCACTGCCCTGGCACAGCCCTAGACAACCTTTTTGGGGAAGAAATTAAAACCAAAGTCGCTTCACAGAGTTTTTCAAACTGCAGCTGGGGTGGAAGTGCCTGGCTGTGGCTGTGGGGGCAGCAGGTCACAAAGAGCCACAGCTGGTTTCATCCTGGCTACTTTTGGCCATACCCTGGCTAGTGAAACCCCAAACTTTGGCCTTTCTGAGCAGCACACGTGAGGTGTGGCAGTGCTGGCACTTTCTGTGAGGAGCCTTTTTGGATTTCCTAGAGGTCTTGGCCAATGCCTCAGTCTTCTGCAAGTCAACATTAAGTTACTCAAAACTTTATTTAATTTAAATTCCTGTCTTTACTTGTGTGTTAAACTCCAGCTTGATTATGCTTCAGCATTTATGTGTCTAATGGTTGCTTTCAGGTTGTCTGGTCTGGAGGATGGTGTCTAAATATCTTCTCAAGTTATGCAGGAGTTAAAGTCTATTTTGCTAATGCCTTAGTGATGTTGCACGGCTTAGTCTAACAGAAAAATGATGGGGTTTTGTTTGTTTTGTTTTCTAACAGAAACCTATATGCCTAACCAGTTGGAGAATTAGAGTGCTGGATGGTAACACTGCAGTGTGTGTTGAAGGAAAACGCAAGTAAGACAGACTTTCCTGGTTTCAGTGGAATGTAGAAGGTGTTGGTGGCCTTCTGGCTCCTGAGCTGGGGAGGATGAACCTTCTCCTAGTGGCTGAGGAGCTGGAGCTTTGAGACCTGTGTTCTTGGAGTCTCTTGGTAACCACAGGCAGCAGTTCCACCCCCTTGAGCTGCTTTGCCCCCTGGCACAGGGACAGGGCAGCAGCTGATCCCCCTGCAGACTGACTGCTCCTCCTTTTGGTTCTGGCGTGGCTCAGGTTGCATGCAAAAAGCTGTAAGATCAGGAAAACATCTGTCCAAAGGAGAGGTTTAGCTTGCCATGAAGTCGTTTGAAAACAGTGTGGGAATACGCCCTTGGAGAACAGTGCTTGGCTCTTCCTGTGGTTAGTAACTAACTAGTAACTACCTGCTGAAGACCCAGGGCCTCTCCCGAGGGCAGTCCCACTGGAGGGAGGAGGTGACTGGGTGTGCTGAGCCACCTCAGGAGGCTGCGCGACCCGGGGCAGGGGCTGGGGTGGGAAGGGCCGTTTCCTGGGGGTACAGAACATCTCTGGCTGATCACCCCCCCCAGACTGGGGGCAGTCCTCCGGGACAGGCTGCACAGCTGAACGTTTCCACTCTTGTCCTGGCCTCCAGCTGTAGTTTGCTCTGTGGGTTACTGTTATAAAAGTATAGTTAAAAAAAAAAACCAAACCCTCACACTCTTGTAGATTTTCTGTTTTAATGCTTGAGTCTGTTATTTCTCACGGAGACGTCCCTTAATTTCTTAACAACTCAAATCTTTGCACTTATTAGGGCTCCTTCTTCAGTTTCTCACCTTTAAATGGGAAGGTCAGAAATGAATGCTGGGACAGTGCCCCTCTGACAGGCACGGTGTCAGTCTGGGAACTGGCACAGGGCTGTGGCTGCAGTGCTGAGGGGCCTGGAGCCCCTCTGCCCAAGTGGCTCCAGCAGCCCCACGCCAGGCTGGAGCTCTGTGAGTGTCCTCTGCAGGAGCTGCTGTGCTCCCTGTCTCCTGCCCAGGCATTCGCCAAGGCCAGAGCTGTGCCCCTTCCTTGCTGAGTCCAGCAAACCCAGCACACCTCACGGGCAGCACCAGCACTCTGCTTTTAAACTCCTCCCTTCACACCAGCAGCGGTTTATTTCTGCCCTTCCTGTTATCTGCCTTTCCTCAGAGATATGAGAGACCTGGTCTGGCACAGCAACGCTGTCCTGGAGCGCATCGCGCGCAACCAGGTCAGGACATCCTCTGGCAGGATCTACGTGCTGGAGGGGAACATAGATTCTGCTTCGATGAGGAAAGAAGGTAAGAAGGTGATTGTTCAGGTAACATTGCACTGAGAACAGCCTGGATCTGTGACTGAACGTGCTGCTGCAGCAAGTGCTCTGTCCTGCCCTGCTAACTGGGCTCGGTGGGTGTTCGGCACACGCTGGAGTGTGACTCCAGCACCGGATTCCTCAGGACTGTCTGATTTAACTGTGGCTGGTGCTTTCAGGGTGCTGCAGCTACAGAGAGGGCTTTCGGAGCATGAAGGGTGCCTTGGGAGCGGAGCCCGACCCCCCCATGGCTCCAGGCTCCTGTCAGGAGCTGTGCAGAGCCAGAAGGTCTCCCCTGAGCCTCCTTTGCTCCAGGCTCAGCACCCCCAGCTCCCTCAGCTGCTCCTCCCCACACTTGGGCTCTAGACCCTTCCCCAGCTTCGTTGCCCTTCCTTGGACATACTCCAGCCCCTCAAGGTCCTTCTTGGAGTGAGGGGCATCCCATGTTTTCCTTGGAAAGTCTGGAGGTTAAGTGGTACTTCTTCCTTCTCTTTTAAAACAAAGGGTTATATTCTACCTTTGCAGCAGTACTTATTTTTAGGGTTGTTTCCCCATTTCAGAGCCCTAGAGTCATTCTGTTGTATCTGTACTACCTGAAGAACTTCCCAGGTTAAAATACTGCTGCTAGACACTTCGACTGCACCTGATCCTGATGCAGTTCTTTGTCTAAGCCTCACAAATGGTCTCTGCTCTCGAGTGAAGAGATGTGGAGAGCCTCTGAGGGACACAAACCCATGTTTCTGCCCCCTGGGAGCAGAGGTGTCACTGGGCTGTTGCTGATGCTGCTTTTGTTCCCCACAGGCTTCCCCTACCCCTTCATCAAACGATTCACTTATGGCTTTCCCAAAAGGTGGAAGGAGTACGTTGGGGAGTTTCTGGAGGAGAGGAGGAGGTAATTTCTTCGGAGATTCTGTTGGATTGCAGTGTTTTTTGAAGCAGTCACTGAGGAGTTGCTGTTGAACACCACTCTCTGCTGGAGGAGTGTAGCAGATTGCAGCTGTGGGCATGTCCTGGCCAGGCACTGCCCGAGCTGGGCAGAGCTGGACGTAAGCTCACCTCAGGTTTGTGTGAGCTGATGTGTTGTTAGAGGACATATGTTGACTATTCCTCTTCTCAAACTCCAAATCATTAGGAAAGAAAAGAAGCAGAATACCGATGAAAGTGAAGATGAAGAGACAGACTCAGTGGTGAATACGGATGTGTTGAAAAATGCCAAAAATTCAGCAAAAGATGTGAAGAGACCTGAAATCCAGAACACCACCTATCAAGTGTTACCGAAGAGCGACGAAAATACCTGTGGGTATTTAATAATCCTTTTCTTCAGAACAAGAGTTGGGGGTTTTTGAGAGCTGTTTTCCCTGGAAAAAGACATCTGCTAGGGTCAGTGGTGCCCTGGCAGTGCTGGGTTAAGGGTTGGACTCCATCTGAAAGGTCTCTTCCAACCTGAGGGATTCTGTGGTTCTACCCTCTGGTTGGTTTCTCATGAGGCAGGCTGTGTGGAGGGGCAGAGACCAGCTGGGCGAGGGCTTCTGTTTGTGTTTCCTGAGACTGCACTGAGCAGAGTGCTGATCTCTGTTGTTATTTCTGGTTTGCTGAAGTCGTGGGGAAATTCATCACACTGGCTTTGTTTCCAAGGGAAGTGGCTGTAAAGCCAGAACCTGGTGATCCACTTGGGTTTTCCTCCCTGTAATGCACTCCAGGCTTTGTCAGGGATGTGGGGGCTTCTGGATTTATTGTTCTTTTTCATGTCTTCTCCTAGGTTCCAGCGGGGCTTTGGCCAGACTTCTCTGAGCCAGTTGTTAATCCTGTAATCAGATTTTCTGGATAAAACTATAAAAGCGGTTTCATTTTTTTTCTCTCATTAGTTAGGAACTGTTCCATGGGACAACTTTTCTTTACCATTCTACTGCCCTAAATGACTCCTCCAGTATTTAGAGCCTTCTAAACAAAGTCAACAGTTTACAACAGTAGATCCTCTACCTTCTGAATCCCATTAAGCCATTTCTGCCCCGAGCACTTTCCACAGAGCAGCACAACACTGGAGTAAATGTTGTGTTTCCCATGTGGTCAGTGCGAACAAGCAGTTCCACACACCATATCACTCCTGTGCTTGTGAGCTCCCCAGAGTGAACGTTCAATACAACATTTGGGCCAAAACTATATTTCTAGTGTTTTTTTTTTCCTTTTTTCTCCAAGACACAACCCCAAAACGCTTCTCCCCGCGGGGTGACTCGGAGAGAGTCTACACTCGGAGTGGCCGCCTCGTGAAACCGCCACTCAGCTTCTGGTGCGGGCAGCGGGAGCTGGTGGACCAGAAGCTCAACGTCACTATAGAGGAAGGTGGAGTAGATTACCTGAGCATGGTAAGACTCTTCTTGCACTGTTAGCTCACTGTATCTCACATCTAAGGAATAAACGTGGCTGGGTGTCTAACGGAAAGAGTCCAGCTCTTGTAAGCACCCGAAGAGGCGGGAGGTTTGGGGGTCTCCCGCTGGGAACAGGGGTGGGACTGATGCTCCTCTGGCTGCAGAACCAGAGATCTACGTCCAGCTTACCAGCTGCTCTGGGGCTGGAGATTTCAGCCTGTGCTTTAGAACATCTCCATTCCCAGGGAGCCTGGCTGGTCGCTTTGGCAGTGTCCTCAGGCAGGACTTGGAGACGCTGGTCAGTGAGGTGACCCCTGAACCCACCACGCTGATAAACACTGGGCTCTCTCAGAGCAGGGGTCAGCAGGTTTGCTGTGTGATCTCTTGCAAAAGCTGATGAATTTGTTTAATTTTGAAGATGTTTAGTAGTGAAAAATACCAAGGACTGGCCAGTTCCAAGAAGAAGAATAAAAGAAAGGAAGTGACGAAGACAACTGAAGAGATGCCAAAAAGCCGAAGTAAAGGTAAAAAGAAATATTTGTTTTCCCATGTTTTCAAGATTGATTGGAATCAGTGGGATTGTGGGTTAGGTGCCAGAGCACCATGGTGATGTCCTGTTATTGTTTAATTGTTTAAATCTGCCAGAGCAGCATTAACTCCTCTCCCCACAGCTTCGAATAGATAACATTTGGGAACTAGAACCCTAAAATCCTCTAAAATATCAAGCTGAATTTCTTTTTTAGAGCGGCTGCAACGTCCTGCATCACAAGGGGTGGTGTCATCCCAATTTCTCTTCCAGGGAAGAGCAGTGGCAAGGCAGGAGGGTCCCGGGGGGAAGCCAGGCCCGCGGGGGGCAGGGAGGTCAGGCGCTTCGTCTCCGAGGATGATGAAGGCAGTTCTGCAGACGTCCGAGGGAAAAGCAAACCAGGGCTTTCTGCGAAGCCGACTCCCCTGAACGCTGCAGGGCTCACTAAGCCCAACAGCAAGGTCCCAGGGGGCACACAGGACAGGAGAGGGACAGAACGTGGAGAGCTGGCGGCACATCAGCGGCCCCACAGGTCCTCACGGCCAGACAAGCCACACCCAGACAGGCACCTGACAAACAGGCTGTCACGCAGAGATGAAGAGGAGCAGTCCAGCGAAGACAGCCCACTATCTGTCAAACGGAAAAACAAACTTTTGCTAAAACAGGAGGTGCTGAAACAGTCCTCCTCTAACGTCAGAAGTTCCCGGGAGGCTGCAGACAGGGCACAGAGTGCCCAGGGGGCTGGGAAGCGCTCCACTGCCTTCCGAGCTGCGCCGCCCAGGCTCAGGTCCAGCGGTGTTCCTGACTCAGGGGCAGGGAGAACACCTCCCAGGGAGTCTGGTGCTTCCCACCCGCCTGAGAAGGCAACGAGGGCAAGAAGCAGCATCAACCCTCCGAGGTATCTGCTCAAGTATGACTCTGAGTATGAAACCAGCGAAGAGGAACTCCATGGAAAAGAAAAGAGTTCAAAAGTATCGGATAAAAATGCAAATTTTAAAGTTGCTAATACTGCCAAGTCTTCAGCAGCAAAGTCAAAAAGAGACCCTGAGAGGGAAAAGGTGCAGAAATCTCTAGAACTTTTTCCACAGGCAGATGATGGTTGGTCTGAGAAGGAATTACAGAAGCTCTACAGGCAAGTGGTTGTCCTGTCTTCACAGGGCTGAGTTCCCCGCGGTCGTTGGGAGGGCTCGGGTGGTCTGGGTTTGTTGTTTTCAGGTTCAGCATCTTTGTTATTTTAAAGGTTTCCTTTATGTTTCAATTCCCTCTTGAAGCAGAAATGCTGTCAACAAATTAAAACATAGTGAAATAAAAGAGACAAGTGAGTCTTTTCTCCAGTAATTAGAAGTGTGAGCCTGCAGCAGCCCCCACTGCTCTCACCAGCACGGAGTGAGAGGAATGCAGGGATGAGGCAGCTCCTGGTGCATCCACCCTCTGCCTCTTTTTCAAAACCACCTGATTAATCTAGTGAAGTGCTAAACAAATCAGGAAACCACGGGTGGGTGAAGAACCTGATAAGGGAATTCCTGTGCGTGGCTGGGGCAGCACGTTCTCCCCCCAGGGAGGAACACGTTAAACACAACGTGCTTGCGTGTGCACCTGGGTTCTGTGGAGGGCAGGTTAGCTGCAGGAGTGTAATTAACACACTGCCCAATTACTGAGCCTGCCGGGCTGTATTTAATTACATAGATTAAGTAATAAAATGGCCATGTTTGGTCACGTTTCTTTAACACAGAAACCTGAAAAGGCACGAGCTGGGGGCGAGGGAGATCCTGCTGTGACTAAGGAAGTGTTTTCTCTTGTGTCAGAGCTGTGCCCAGCTGTGTGGGCACGCTCTGGAGGGGTGCCAGAGCCGAGGCTGTGCCCACCCGGGCACGGCGTCCTGGGGGCAGCTGGGCTGGGCGCCGCTGCCCGGCGTGACACGGGCAGTGGCTCTGTCCCCTGCAGGGCCGTGGCTTCCTTTCCCAAGCACAGGAACGGCTTCTGGATGGAGGTGGCCATGGCCGTGGGGTCCCGCTCGGCCGCGGAGTGCCAGCGCCAGTACCTGGGGCAGCAGGAGCAGGAGGGGCCCGAAGCACGCGCCAGGAGGAGCAGGGCACCGGGCACGGCGGAGCAGAGGGGTAAGCACGGCTTACATCGGGCACCCCCCTCCCTACACCCTTGTGAGGGGAGAGGCAGGGGCAGGTCATGGTCCAACACTGAAGCCACTTAGCTTTTCTAGCAGAAAGGCTTGTTGCGGAGCCTGGGGGATGTCACAAGGGACTGAAGTAATGAAGGAAAGGCTATTCTGAGTTCTCTAGTGTTTGGCATGATGGGAAGACCTGAACTGCCCTGAAGGAAAAAAGCAAGTATAGATTGAAATCTAATAAACCAGCTGATGTCTGACCCTTGTGATGGCTCCGTGAGTCTCTGCAGTTCAGCTTCTAAGATGGGGACAATGTTTTTATCAGGGCTTGTTGGGACAAGACAAGAGGGGATGGTTTTAAACTAAAAGAGGGAGATTTAGATTGGACATAAGGAAGAATGTTTTCACCATGAGGGTGGTGAGCCCCTGGCCCAGGCTGCCCAGAGAGGTGGTCACTGCCCCATCCCTGGAACCATCCCAGGGGAGGTTGGCCGGGGCTCTGAGCACCCTGCTCTAGCTGCAGATGTCCCTGCTCAGGGCAGGGGGTTGGACTGGGTGACCTTGAAAGGTCCCTTCCCACCCAACCCAGTCAATGATTCTAAGCTAAGTCGCAGTAAAGAAAATCTTTAAAAGCATATACTGTCTAAGAACTCAAAGGTCACGAAGAAGCTTTAAGATGCTTCCAGAGAGGAGGGGCTGGTGCTGGTTGCAGTCGGGTTTCAGGCTGTGTGAGGTCCCTGCTGTGTTAGAAGGATGGAGGTGATGATGGAGGTGATGATGGAGGTGATGATGTCCTGATTCACGCAGGTCCAAAGGAGCCGGCTGCAATAACGGCCAAGGTGGGGACCCTCAAACGGAAGCAGCAGATGAGAGACTTCCTGGAGCACCTGCCCAAGGACGACCACGAGGACATCTTCACGGCGACGCCCTTCCAGAGCAGGCGGGTGAAGGTACATGTGGCCCTGAGGCTGCAGCTGGGGGTTCTGCACGGCCTCTGCAGTGTGACAGCTCAGGGGCTGAGGGAAGAGCCTCATCTCCCCGAGCGTGTGACTGCCGAGGGGCTGTGTGAAACCAGGCTGTGGGGGGAGGGTCCTGTCTGCCCTGGGCGGGGACGCTGGAGGCTGTGGGGTGAGGGCTGTGCAGAGTTACTGCTGTCATGGGCTCCTTGTGCCGTGGAACCAGCCACTCTCTACAGCCATGCTGATGCTTAACAGGGGTTCCTCTCTCTCCTCTCAAACCACCTCCTCTTGAGGAATCCCAGCATGGTGGGGTGGGAAGGGACCTTTGGAGATACCTTGTCCCATCCCCTGCTCCAGCAGGTCACCCACAGCAGGGTGCCCAGGGTCACAGCCAGGTGGGTTTGGGATCTCTCCAGAGCAGGAGACTCCACAGCCTCTCTGGGCAGCTGCTCCAGGCTCTGCACCCCCACAGCAAAGAAGTGTCTCCTCCTGTCGAGATGGAACCTCCTGGGTTCCAGTTGGTGTCCATTGCCCCTTGTCCTGTCACTGGGCACCAGCATTAATTTTCATTATCAAAAGAAAGATTTTTCGGTTTTTTTTCCCCCATTTTTGAGGTGTATTTCACAATGCATCTTTTCACTGTTTTCTAACTGCAAACACTCATGCCTGGGTCCCAGCTGGGACTCTGAAACTCACCTGCAGGTCTCTGGAGCCATCTCTTTTGGGGTTCTGGGGCACTGCTCAGGGAACCCATGTCTGAGGCGCCCGGTTCTTGTAGCGGGATTCTCCAGGAGCCTCCTCTGTTGGCAGAACACGTTTTCAGCCAGTGGTTCAAAAGAGTTCCCTGTTTTTTGATTACTTTTGCCTAGCTTGTGCTGTGTCAAGGAAACGAACCTCGAGGGGTGAGAGGTGCACCTCCAGAGGAACCTGTCCGGAGCCATGGGGGGGGAACTCCTCTTCCATGAGCAAGGCCAGCCCCTCCTCAGACCCAAGCAGACTCCATCTGCCATTTCTCATGCAAGGTCCAGCACTGAGCTGTTTGCTGTGTGAAGAACCAGGACCTTGTTATCTGTCCTGACCTTGTCCGTCTCTGAACCTCTCCAGTTCTCCTCTCTTCAAAACAGACCAAAATTTTACAGAGTAATCCCAAAATCCTCCTCCTGAGTAGTCCTGGTCAGCTTTGGGCTCACAACTTTAATTGGTGATTACTTTTGGACACGTAGCAGCAGCCCAGAAGGGGCAGCAGGAGCTGAGCAGCAGCAGGGGGGTGAGGGCAGGACGGAGGCCGGAGGCGCCACTTGGCTGCGGCCCGCAGGGGGCACGGGCACCTCGTGGCTCCCACAGGTCCCTGGGGCAGCCCAGGAGGGAGCAGGGGCCTCCTGGGGCGAGGATGGAGCCTGCGGCTCCTCTGGGAGGGCTGC